AGTGGCAAGCACTTCGGTGTCGCATTAAAATGTCAGTCAAGTGGCTATAGGTAGGTGGTCAATGGGATGTGCACTTATGCACAATTGTGCACCGGACTAAAAAAAAAAAAACAACAACAGAGAGCTGCACAGCGGCAATCACACTGACCTGACAATATTATTAGACTTGATAAAGATATTATGTAAATAATACGAACAATAACTACGCACGTACATGCAGAAAATGAAAATCCATTAGGCGAAAAATAATCCCTTTGTTATCCCTTATACTTTTTACGACCAAAAAAGAAACAAAAGAAAGCCTATTAAAGAAATGATTCTCAACGTTTACATTCACTTTTTAATCTCCTCTTGTATCGTTGGAAGTCGAGAGGACATCCAACTTTCGGAAAAGGGCAAAGTGGGTGGAGTTTTGTTGAAAATATGTCCTTCTGTCGGATGTACCGATGCCATCTAGCCAGGATTTACGTGGTCTACCGCTGCTTTCATATCCGATTCTCTTGTGCGTTGTATGCCTTTGCAGCTGGTGATTTGTGGGGGTGAGGGCAGCACTCTCATCAGGCCAACAAAGCTTTAAATTCAGTATTCAATATCATACTACATGACCGGTTTCAATGTTTTCATTTCAAATTTTCATCTCACGGGCAGTAGTCTTTGATTTTAAAAAATTTAGTCCTATGTTTAGCTGACATCACATCTGACTTTGGTAAGCTAGAGTTGGAAGGATCGTGGTGAAAAAAAGGGGCTCGTCAAGGTAATTTAAAAAAAAATAATAAAAACTTTTTTTCGCCCGTCGAACAATTATTTTCGGTTTTGTTTTTGCTTTTGATTTGGGATCAACACCTTCTACATTTTTGCGTGTATTTTATTGAAATACATTGATGATCAACGGCAAAAAAAGTAAATTTTCAGTTTCCGAGGACACTACAGCTTTGGGCGTCATAAAACTTTTGCCGCTATTTTCTCTCTAACTTTACCTCTGAGACAAGGCGACATCGATTTCCTATTTCAATAGCAGATATCTAGACTTCCATTGAAGAAAAACTGGTACTTTATTATCGAAAGCAAGGTCAATAAACATAATTTTGGATTCTATCTATAACTTCATTAGCCCCAAAACTGACGATCGCTCTAGTGCACCGTGCTGCAACAAATTTAAAAATCTGCAGTTTATATGTTGTCGTTCCACTTCCATTGGTAGGTGGTTATGGGTGACTGATTACGGTACTTTGTAGGTTACAGCTTGCTGTCTGGGCCCTCATTTCAATTTCACTGTCCAACCTTCCAGCAAGGTTTTAATTCCCCCTCTTGTTTTAATTGTGTACCGTCCATGGAAACGTTCAGTTGGGCTGCGTTTCTGTTTACTTTCGTTGCTTTTGTTTCGACAATGCTGATTTGACATTTTATTCAGACATTTTGTACGTCTTGCAAGCAGTAAATAAACTACAATAGTGATTGTCATCGCAATGGAGAAGTAACATTTCGCTACCTTATAATTACTAAGTTCTATGCACTCAGCGCCCAGTTTTGAGATATTTGACGTTAAAAATTTCACTATATGTCAAGCTTTATCGAATATACTTTGAATAACAACCCCGCATAATCTTACGATTTTGGTAGGGCAGAACATTTGGTTTTTGACCTCCTGGCCTTAATAACTCAAAACGGCCAAAAATGTGAGATAGAGCTTTGTAATTCTAAGGTAGCGATTTATCGATGTGAAATACAGGGACAATTAAATAATTGGGACTTTCAATGCCAGAGAGCACAAAATGTGAATTTGAAATTGTTTGAACGTAAAATTATTTCTTCTTGTTATCATTCTCGGGCTGGGGTAGAGGAATTTTTACTAGGGCATACGGATGTAGTAAAATCTCCCGAGATTTCCCTGGAACCTAAACTTTTAACTGTTTTGTTCTTTTCGGAACATATCGCCATGCATGCAACAGAGACGGACTCTCCCACTCGAACGAATTGTGTTTATTACGCAGGACTATTATTGAAACCATAATAGGCCTAATAACATAACAGTGATGGCAATAATAATAAGCATATCGATACAAATAATTATTCTGCTATCAAAAACACTGCTGCTGCTGCTTCTGCTACAACTACTATTACAAACAATATTATACGCTCAAGATACAAAGTCAAAACACAACAGGTTTCATAAGACACGAGACAGTACTTACCCACAGTGGCTCATCGCCACACAGAGGTTGGAAAATGGCTTCCATGACTCCCATCGCTATGATTAGGACTCCCCGAACTCTTCTAGATGCTCGCTTCCACCGTCGTCAGCCCTCTGAGCACATCGAGGTTCCCTGATCTTCCGCCTCGTCAAAGGAAGTGATCGGGAAAATCCTTTCTAGCCCCTATAAAGTGTCTTGGTTGAGTTGTCACACAACGCAAAAGTCTCGTCGCTTGATTTGAATGTAAGTCTCAGACACTTTTTCTGATGCTTGATCCGTGGAGAAGTTTGAGTGTTTTTGCGGAAGTT